GTGTGTGTGTGTGTGTGTGTGTGTGTGTGTGTGTGTGTGTGTGTGTGTGTGTGTGTGTGTGTGTGTGTGTGCGCGTGAGCGCGTGTGCGCGTGTGCGTGTGTGCGCGTGTGCGTGTGCGTGTGCGTGTGCGTGCGTGCGCGCGCGCGCGTGCGTTCGCGCGTGCGTGCGTGCGTGCGTGCGTGCGTGCGTGCGTGCGTGCGTGCGTGCGTGCGTTCGTGCGTTAGTGCGTGCGTGCGTGCGTTCGTGCGTTCGAGCGTTCGAGCGTGCGTGCGTGCGTGCGTTTCGTGCGTGCGTGTGTGTGTGATTGTGTGTGTGTGAGTGTGTTTGCTTGCCCGATCGCGAGTCAAGTTATTAAGTAGTACATATTTTATGTTAACATTTCAAGTACTCTTTCGGTTTCGTCGTAATTCTGTACCTAAAGCCATTTAGTTATTTTATTTTTGTTTACGTTTTTACATGCTTTTACTATATTTAATATATTTAATTTTTTATTTATAAAATTGTACAATCTCCCACTCCTAAAATGATAAAACCTCGAAGCAAAGGAAGTACTAACCTTATTTGTCTTACATACTGCATAGGATCTTCTGGCTGTGGATACTCTAATATAATATTCGATACGTATATTGGAGTGTTGTCGAAGTACCGTGTGTAAAATATAAATTTGACGATCAGAGAGAACATCTGCTAGATATACCATTCTCATAAGTTTGCTATCAGCAATATAACGAAGCTGTTTGAAGATGTAAATCAATTTCCTTAGTCTCCATGCAACCTCGCGAATGTGCCGATTGAATCTGAGGTTGTTGTCAAATATAACACCAAGATATTTTATATTTTGGGTACAAGTAATGAGAGGACAGTTACACATACCAGTTGAAGAATTAGAACATTTATACGCTATTAATGGCACATGGATAGACAAAGAAACAGCGTTTTTAATTGTAAATACAACATAGGTACTTAGTTTTTTCCGCATTTAATGTAAAGCAGTTTCTAGTAAGCCAAGAAGTAACAATATCAAATCCGCTCTGAGCTAAGGAATGGAGCTCATCCCAATTATCAGCGTAAAAGGTGAGGGTAGTGTCATCTGCATAGGAAGCGATTCTGCAGTTTTTTATATTTAGTTGGCAAAGATCATTGTGTATATAGATAGTCAGTGAAGTGATCACCCAACCGTCACAAACTGTTATCTGTTACACAGATAGTCAGAGAACAAAGATAGTCGTACTCCTCTAATTCCCATGTTACATAGCTTTTGAATTAGGTGGGGTAAAGAGACTGTATCAAAAGCTTTTGCCAAATCAAGTAACGCTGTAAGACATTTTTGTTTTTAGTCAATTTTTTTTGATACGAAGTATTTAGTTAATCTTTTATTGATTATTCGTTCGAAAACTTTAGAAAGTGTCGTAAGAATAGAAATTGGTCTGTAATTATTAACACAGCCTCTGTCGCCCCCCTTAAATATGGGATAAACTATGAACGTCTTCAGTGCACCCGGAAACACCCCACCCGTGAGACAGCGATTAATGATATCAGTGAGAACTGGTGTTATTAAGTGTGATATAGCTTTTAATACTTTAGCACTGATTCCGTCCCGACCAGGAGAACAATCACTTTTCAGCTGCAAAATGGTACGTTCCACTTCTTCACAATCACAAGGTACAAGAACAAATGAATGTAATGCTCCATTAGAAACATTTTTCAGATCTGTAGGTGTCGATGTAAGCCTTTCGGCCAAGTTCCCACCAATAGTAACAAAGAAGTCATTAATTTTATTTACTGCAAATTTAGGGGTACTGTAACCAAGTAATTATTCAGTGGGGATAATTTTTTGGGTATCACTATTTGTAACCTTTTCGATGGAATCCCATAGTTTTTTTAAATTATTACTTGCCATGAGCAACTGATCCTTCTCATACTGTCTTTTTAGCTTTTTCAATAAATTGTTACAATAATTCCTATATCTTCTATAGCTGGTTGCCAATGTATCGTTGTTAGGATTTAATCAGACTTTAATATGCATACGATCTCTGTTACGGATACATCTGTGCAAGCCTGTTGTGATCCAAGGCTTATACGTTACTTATTACGAGGCACTGTAATGTTAATAGAATTCGTAATTATCTGAGACATATATCTAATGAAAGTATTAAGAGCTGTGTTAGGATTATTTTCTACATAAATTGGATCAAAGTCAAGTTTACTATATTCCGTTATTACATTTTGTAAATTGAAATATAACTATAAATATAACGCACACACACTCAACATAGCCCCGCACTAGGGAAACCCTGTGTCGCGGGTGCTATGGACACACACATAGACAACCACAAATTACGCCCAAATTCACGAGAGAAGTAAATGTAGGCCATACAAATATTTTTCCCGGGTCGGGAATCGAACGTGGGATCTCTGCGTGGCAGTCCGGCCACTACTATTTTTACTACTATATACTTTTTTTTTTTATCCTTTAATAGTTTTATTTATCCTTGAGACAGTGTTACTAATTGGCCTTTTATTTGAATCGAATATTTTTAAACAAAATAGCGATGCTGCATGATCAGTGATTGTTGTGGATAAAGTAAAGGTAAAAAAGTTCATCTTGATTCTTATTATCACGTGATCAAGACAAGCTTCACCTCTTGTAGTAGATTCAGTGGCAGGAAGGAGGCCCAAGTACAAAAGAGTGTCAAGATACGTAGAAGTGTCTACATTATTAATGAGGAGATTAATATTAATATCTCCAACTATAACAACACTATTAAAAGAAGACAATGATTCAAGAATATTTCCCAAAGAAATTAAAAAGTTATCAAGAGCAATAAAACTAGGAGGTCGATAAAAGGCTACAACAGCAGTATGATTCCCTAGCTTAATAACCAAACACTTAGCCTCCATAAAAATTGGTTTTTCGACACGACAGGCTAGATGACTTTTTGTATATATTACCACTCCATCATTCTGATTGTAATTGGCGTTTGTTCTGAAAGAATTGTATCTTGGCAACAAAGGTACATTAGCAATAAAAGAAAGTCAGCATTCAGACAATACAATTATATCATTGTCAAAGCAAAACCTGGACAGCAACAGTTTTAATTCATCAAAATTACGATTCAAACTGCCTATATTTATTATATAAACCTATATTTTGCTGTAGAATTTTTAGGAACAAATATGGTTCTTTCAAGTGTGTTAAACATTGTTCTGGATCACAGCTTACTGACGTGCCAATACACAAGTCATCCACATGATTACAGAGTTGTGCTTTATCGAATTTTATAGGTAGTTTTAGAGTTGTACATTAGAGTAGCATAATTATAGAAGTTGCGATCAATGATGTCTGTTTGGTCTTTTTTGTTAGAGTTAACCAATATATTGAAATATCGCGCCGAGTATAGGTTTATGTAGATTTGCGTTTGTGTGTACCTAAGTGTATTATGTGGTGATGGTTGGATGTATTGTGTTTTATAAAATTTATAAGCATAGAATGTAAATCAATGAACAAAGTATTGTATTGGGAAATTAATGATAGTGGCCGAAAACAAGCTGCCATAAAGATTCGCTAGTCACATCTTGTTTTTCATTAGTTTTGTAAGGTCAGTTTCTGACTGGATTCGAATAACCGGTTGTCCTTCGGTCTTGCGTAAGTATATGCTTCCCCTTGAAGTCCAACAGTAAGAGTAAGAGTTGTATCTGGCAAATTCTAAAAAATTCTAAGAAATCTCTTATCCTGCGCTCTTTCTTCTTCCAAGTTTTGGATTTTGTCAAGTACAGCATCATATTTATCTGACATAAATTGAAGACTTTCTTGTAAGTCTACATTTTGTTGTTTGACAAGCTGAAATTGTTGTTCTACAGACGTTGATAATTTAGAGAAAAGTTCTCTCGTTTCATTCTTCAAGTCGCCAATATCATCCTGGTCT